TGACACTGAAGGTTGTTGGCACTTACTAGACATGCAAAAAGTGGCCACTATTAGTTTAGATCCAGTCTGCATTTCTTACCAAAAATAAAGCATTGTTTTGGTCAATAGGGAGGATGTGACTGAATAATACATCCTAAGCAGAATGAAACCAATCTTGGCTGGTGTTGGTTTACTCTTATTTTTCCCCCGAGTATTTAAGGAAGGAATACCACCTGGATCAGAGCTATTAGCTTATGAGAGTGTATTTTCTTGGACTATAAAATCAAATCACAATCTATTGTGTTACAAGGGAAAAAATCTTTAAACAATTATTACACGAATACTTAAGCATCCATATCTAGACATCTGTCATTAAATTACAATGAATTTATTCTCTAAAATATTGTAACTATATGTATAGTTAGAAAAATCATTGGTTCCAATATCAGTTGTATTACCTCCTCAACTTGAACATTCCTATCAAAGTATCCATACTCATGAAACCTGAAACTGCAACCCACATGCAGGTCTACAGTTCCATAACCCTACAACTTAGTTGAAGGAAAGACGATGAGATTCATATATAAATGAATCTTACCTATGGCAATTATACATTGAATTGTTTGGAGGTCATTTATATTCTCTGGTCTCGAATTTCCTTAGTGAAAAGTAAAGAGTCTAGGTTAAATTGTCTCTAACAACCCTTCCTATCCCAAAAGTCCATGCTAGTGTTTTCTTGCCCCCCTTTAATCTGGGCCACTCCCTTTCCTTATAACTTGAACACAGTATCAGCTGGTCTCTAATTATTTTTAATAGCTGCATAGCATTCTATTTTATTGATGTACCAATAATATATTTTAGGAGTCTACATTGATGGACGTTTAGATTTTTATATTTAGATTTTTTAAATAGTTCTTAAAATCAGTGCTTGCAGTATATACTATGTACATATTTGCATTTACATGTGTGTGCGTATATCTGTAAGATAAACTACTAGAAGTATAACTACCAATTCAAAGTTCTAAATCCTAATAGATATTTAAATTTTCCTTCATCTCTTTTACGAATTTAGAGATTTATTTTTTTTGCATTTTTTAAATTTTTTAAAATTTTTATTGTTATGTTAATCACCATACATTACATCATTAGTTTTTGATGTAGTGTTCCATGATTCATTGTTTGTGTAAACACCCAGTGCTCCATGCAGAGCGTGCCCTCTTTAATACCCATCACCAGGCTAACCCATCCTCCCACCCCTCTCCCCTCTAGAACCCTCAGTTTGTTTTTCAGAGTCCTCCTCACTCATGGTTTGTCTCCCCCTCTGATTTCCCCCCTTCATTCTTCCCCTCTTGCTATCTTCTTCTTCTTCTTCTTTTTTTTAACATATATTGTATTATTTGTTTCAGAGGTACAGATCTGCGATTCAACAGTCTCGCATAATTCACAGAGCTCACCATAGCACATACCCTCCCCAATGTCTATCACCCAGCCACCCCATCCCTCCCACCCCCCACCACTCCAGCAACCCTCAGTTTGTTTCCTGAGATTAAGAATTCCTCATATCAGTGAGGATTGACTTATTTTGCTCAGCATAACACCCTCCAGTTCCATCCACGTCGTTGCAAAAGGCAAGATCTCATTCGTTTTGATGGCTGCATAATATTCCATTGTATATCTATACCACATCTTCTTTATCCATTCATCTGTCGATGGACATCTTGGCTCTTTCCACAGTTTGGCTATTGTGGACATTGCTGCTATAAACATCGGGGTGCACGTACCCCTTTGATCTCTACATTTGTATCTTTGGGATAAATACCCAGTAGTGCAATTGCTGGGTCATAGGGTAGCTCTATTCTCAACTTTTTGAGGAACCTCCATACTGTTTTCCAGAGTGGTTGCACTGGCTTGCATTCCCACCAACAGTGTAGGAGGGTTCCCCTTTCTCCGCATCCTTGCCAACATCTGTCTTTTCCTGATTTGTTAATTTTAGCGATTCTGACTGGTGTGAGGTGACATTTCATTGAGGTTTTGATTTGGATTTCCCTGATGCCGAGAGATGTTGAGCACTTTTTCATGTGTCTGTTGGAATTTAGAGATTTAATAACAATATTTGAGGCTTCTTTTTTCTTGGGGGGGTTTGACGTTTCATGTTTTATCGGTCTTGTCAACATGGCATACTATTAGACTTTTGCATTTTTGTCATTCACATAGGTAAACAAAAGAATTTTGCTATACTTACACTTGTATTTTCTTATAGGATAGTTTTACTATTTATTAATATGTTCAAGAGTCACTTTCATTACATTAATAATGAATTCCCTATTCATATACTTTGCTAATTTTTCTACTGCCTTGTTCGGCACTTACTTATTGGCTTCAAAGAGTTCTTTACAAATTAAAGATATAACCCTTACAAATAATCCTGCTTTTTATCTGGTTTTATTTTTAATTTTGTAATAGGCTTTTAAAGCAACAACAAAATAAAACCTCTGTGGAAAATTATGTAGTCAGATTTATCAATCTTTTTTATTAACTTTATGACTTTAGGATTTTTTGTCAAACTTAATGTGATAGGTAATGCCTGATCAATCAAAACCCAAATAGATCCAATGGTGAGGAATTTGAAAGTGGAAGAATGTATCTCTGGCAGTACAAAGAATTGAGAAAGTCAAGTAGCCACTCATAAATTCTAATTTCCCTCCTCCTCCTGCTGCTGTTCTCATTCCACCTCGTCTCCATTTTCCTCTTATGCCCTACTCCCCCTCCCCCAGTTGAGAATACTGAGAATCAGAGTGGCAAAATGAATTGATTTTTCAAGAGTGCAATCATAACCCCCATTTTCACCAGTAAGGCAGAGTTAAAAAGGAAAAAAAATGCTATCAAAAATGTCATTACTGCATTAATGTTTATTGCGTATTTTTAAAGTTTTTGACACTGTATAAAAATATATAAAAAGTAGTCAAGTATAAAAGATCATTATCATGTTTGACATTGTACAAATGAACCAAAAGTTTGAATTTCTAAGAAACCTAAAGCTAATAAGCATTATCATGGTTCAAAAAGACTGTGTGTCTGTATCTGAAACTTCGTTTGCACTAGGATTTAGCATGCAGAGTTAATATCTATGCATATAGCCACTAACTTATGTCTTATAATTGAAATACTGAATCCAGAATGAGGACAGTTACAAGCCTTCTGTTTTCTGTTAAGCAATTCTTTTCTTCATTGTTAGAATACATTTAGTCTTCCTGTTACAAGGCCTTTTTCATGATGCAAATCACAGAGAGAAGTACATAAGAAAACTTCTGGCTAGCAAATGAATTACTAATAATAGAGTTTTTATCTTTATTAATAAATATACACAAATTTTACTTTCCCTCTTCTGGTTTCCAAGAAATATGAAAGGATAGATTTCAGATTTGGTCATCAAATAATTTTTGTCACTTTGTGCATTGGCATATTTTAGGTACCCATGGAACTTTTAAACTTTTTCTGTGAATAATGAAGTATTCATTATAGCCAATTATTTCTACTTAAAAATAAGTAAACTTGGAAAATAGATAATACAGACATACCCAACTTATGATGGTTTGACTTACAATTTTTTTGACTTTATGATGATGTGAAAGTGATAAGCATTCAGTAGAAACTGTACTTTGAATTTTGAATTTTGATCATTCCTGGGCTAATGATATGTGGTACAATACTCTCGCATGATGCTGGGCACCCACAGTTCCCAGTCAGCCACATAATCATGAGGAAAAACAACCAATATACTTACCACCATTTTGTACCCATACAGGCATTCTGTTATTCACTTTCATTAGAGTATTCAATAAATTACATGAGATTTGAATACTTTATTATAAAATAGGCTTTGTGTTAGATAACTTTGCCCAATTACAGGCTGATTCTAAAATAACTTTTGTGTTAGATGATTTTGCCCAGTTGTATGCTAATGTAAGTGTTCTAAGCACATTTAAGGTAGTCTAGGTTAAGCTATGATGTTCAGTAGGTTAGATGTATTAAATGCATTTTCAACCTATAATATTTCAACTTACAATGGGTGTGTCAGGAAGTAACTCCATTGTACTTTAGGGAAGGTCTGCATATGCTTCTGATAGCAGTAAATATCTAGAAAACGTTTTATAATGAGTATAAATGCATATTAAATCATGTAAAGGAAAACAGAAAAATCAAGATAGGGAAGATGATAAGTAACCAAATACAATTGATCCTTGAACAATGCAGGTGTTAGAGACACCAAACCCCCACACAGTTGAAAATTCAGGTATAACTTTCGACTCCCCCCAAATTTAACTCCTAATAGCCTACTATTGATTGGAAGCCTTACTGATAACATAAACAGTCAATTGGCACATATCTTATATGTTATATATGTTATATTAACTGTATTCTTACAATAAAGTAAGCTCAAGAAAATATTGTTAAGAAAATCATTAAGATAAAAATACATTTACAGTATTATACTGTATTTATAAACAAAAAAAAATCAATGTAAAGGTGGACCCATACAGTTCAAACCCATATTGTTCAGGCATCAACTGTATATATAACCAAATTATAAATTACCAAAATATTCAATACAAAAAGAAAAGATAAGCTAACAAATGTACATTAATGAGGTAAAGTCTATGTTATAAGACACATTTCTTTTTATTATGTCAATATATGGAAAAAAGTTTTTAATAAGTTGAAGGTATCAGAAACTCAATTTGCTTATACATTTTGATTGCAAGGTATAAAAATGTCATGTGTTCAGTTGAAGAGAATCACAAATTTAGTAACATGAGGAGCATTTTATGTAGATTAGAATCTCTAAATTGTTTATGAGATATTTAAAAGGATTTTAAATATTTTCAAGAGAATTTATATATTAGAAATTTAAGCAATGACAAATGGGTTAAAATTATACCTAAATAATAAACTGATTTCATGCAATTCTCTTGCACTTCAGACAGAAATCCAATTCCATAACTCACTAACCCATATCATTAGCAAAAATAGTTGGCATGGTGTTGTGATCCAGTAGAGCCTCTTCATTCCCATTCAGGATTATGTTCCTTCATGGTTATCCCTAGTTTTTCCAGGAGTTCACATGACGGTTTCTTAGCTTTCGCATGGATGATTTAACATCTTCATTCCTTAGAGAGTAGATGATGGGATTCAACAGGGGCGTACAAACAGTGTAGAACACAGAAAGGAACTTATCCACAGAAAGTCTGCTAAAAGGCCATATATAGAAGTAAATGCAAGGCCCAAAGAAAAGAATCACTACTGTGATGTGAGCAGTTAATGTAGAAAGCACCTTGGATGACCTGCTGGAGGGCCGGCGATGAACAGTGATCAAAATGATGGTGTAGGAAATAATTAAAGCCAGAAAACAACCCAATGATATCAGGCCACTGTTAGTTAGGGTCATAATTTCCATTTCATAAGTATCCATACAAGCCAGCTCTATCACAAGGGGAAGGTCACAAAAGAAGCTGTCTACCTCATTGGGGCCACAGAATGGCAGATCCACTGTAAAAGCCAAGTGACTCACAGAATGAAGAATACCCACAGCCCAGGAAATAAACACAAAAATTATACATAGTCTCCGATTCATAATTGTGTTATAGTGTAGGGGCTTACAGATGGCTATAAATCTGTCATATGCCATAGCTACAAGCAACATCATCTCACTCCCAACAAAACTATGAAGAAGGAATATCTGGGCCATGCAGCCCTCAAAGGAGATAGTCTTGTGTTCAACAAAGAAGTCCACAAGCATCTTGGGGGTTGCAAAACTAGACTGGCAGATATCAATGAAAGAAAGGTTACTGAGCAGAAAGTACATAGGAGAGTTCAAATGGGAGTCAAAAGAAATTATAACAATAATCATGATGTTGCCCAGAACTGATGTCACATACACCAAAGAGAAGATGGCAAAAAAGAACAGCTGAAGTTCCCAAGACTTAGAAAGTCCCAGAAGCACAAACTCAGATACCACTGATTCATTTGTGTGAGCCATGGAGCCACTCTCCTGTTACCTAAGTAAAAGAAAATCAGGAAAGATCACAATGGTGGTACTATATCTAGTATATATTCAAAAGAAATATGATAAGATTTCAATTAAAAGTCAATTTAGTTTAATGAAATTGTATAAGTAATCAATTGACTAACATCTGTGACTGCTGTGGAAAGTAGAAGTATAGGGAAAAAAAGGTATCATATGGATGCTTTCATAATTTGGTAGATACACATATTAAAAAAATATTAAATCCCAAACAAGCAAATGTAAGTGATACATTAATGCCACAAATATTAGTAAGATGAAAGAAATTATGCCAAAATGGTGAGGTAAGGTGTCATGGGATAGGTATTATTTAAGCCAAAATTTCTTTAAAGTTTGGAATTCGCCAGCCAAAACTGAAGGAAAAGTCTATTTCAAGCAAAGGAAATAGCAGGAAGAAAGATATAAAGGTAAAAGTATGAAAGACATTTTCACAAAACCTTTTATTGAATGGCCTGGCTGGAGGAGGGTATGCTAAGGAACAATAAAAATGAAGATGGGAATGATAGATCAGGAGCAAAGCATGGATGCAGTTATTAATGCCTTGAACAGAAGGCTAAGTAGACTAGATTAATATTCTTGAAATTGAAAATCACAAAGTGCTTTGACAATGTTTTAAGAAGCTTCATGGAAGCAATTTGCCATATTATGAAAAGAAGAGGCAATGTTGATACTCTGAAGTTTCTTTAAAGATCAAGAATGTTTCTTTCATCCATTTAACAGTAGTTTATCAGGGTTCACCTTCTGTCACATAAAGATCAATTTTGAATCAACCACCAATGTGTTTTCAGTGTATTCTGACTCTACCTTTTGTCTCTTCCTAAACACATCTGACACACCTGGATTTATCAAAATCTGTGACACCTTTCAGAAATCATCCTTTTGGAAATATTCCATATTACTACACATGGTGCATTTTGAATGCATAACAGATTTTCAGAAGAGTAAAGTTTAGTGTTTGAATTGCCTCTTGAATGTTTTTTTGTCATTGGACACCATGTGGCCATTTGATCCCAGAAGAAGATCCTACATAACCCCTGGTTGTTCAGGAATCATTTTTGCCTTTAGTCCTATGTACCCAACAATACACAGTAGATATTTATTGCTCATTATACTGATTGATTTTGTACTCTGTATTTGGCCATGATATATATAACTAATATAATAAATATTTAAAGCTTTAAAAGCAAAATTGTACAGGTAAACATAAACCAAATGTTTAAACTGTTAAAGGTTTCATTATGGCGGTTGAAGCACTAAGTCCTTCTCTTTCAAGGATTTCCATCTTTGCATTTGAATTATGATATCTAGTTTTAAGAAGAATGCCAAAACTTAAGTGACTGAAGAATATAAAGAGATCAATAAGGCATGAACTGAACTCCATTTGAACTTCTATTATAGGATTCTTGTCTCCATGTGGAAGAGTTGAGCCATGTCTGATCACATATTTATAATGCAAAGGGGAGAGAAGGAGGCAAATAAACATTGGAAAGGAAAAAGATTCCTATTTCTAAGATCTAAAATCCTAAAGGACTACAGTTATTAATTTTAAAAAGGATAAGATTAAAATTTCAAATTTAAGAAGATGCCATGAGGGACTTCTTACAATTTATTGTGCAAAGCCTGCCAAATGTGGTAACTTAGTAAGATAACATTAAAGAGTCAGAGGAAGGAGAAGGAGGAGGAAGAGAAGGGGAAAGCATAATGGTTAAAACATGTTAGGTAAAGTTAGCGGTATTAATACAATTCTTAAAGATCATTTTATCTTTGAAAAAAGATACTCTGAAAATACAATTTTCTACAAATTCCATCTTTTCAATACCTAATGAATGTTAAGGTTTGTCAGTCTTCATTTTTCAAAATATATGAAATAACTAGAAAATCCTTTCCATGCTGAATTTCCTGATTTCTTAATCCAAATAGAGTAAACCAGGTTCAGTGTTAGATCTCATTTTCTTTTCAATAATTAAGGTAGGTATCTATTAGAAGAGATACATAATATATGCCACTTAGTTATATGACTGACGTTAGAAGATAGAACTAGATTATTTCCAAGGCTGTTTTCATCTCTAAAATTCTAAATGCAGAGGCAGTTATATTATGGAAACGTGAAGTTTATACAAGTCACTCAGAATTCCTTGGACTATGCACAGAACACCCAGAAGCTTCTCCATTAATGAGTCACTCACGTTTTCATCACTAGAATACTTCAGAGATACAAATGTTTTCAGATCAGAAAATACACTGTAAGAGAATTTCCTCTTGTAAGGAAATTCTTACATTCTCCAATGTAAGACCAAGTCTGATATATAGAAGTTGATGTTATATCAGTACCCATCTAAAATATCTCAATAGAACTCCAAAACCATATGCATATTTTTTTCATTATTTTGCCTTATAATAGTTGATTACCTATAAGCCTAGCAGTAAAAAACAATCAAGGATACCCTTGTTGACCTACTTTGTGTAGCCACTCCTTCTTCATTCCAGGGGAATTTTGATGGTCAATAAATATTTGCCTAACAAACAGCAAAATATTCTCTGAATGGAAAGCATGAAAGAAGCAAAGAAGGGACAGATAATGGTTATAGCATACTTCCCTTTGTTTATCAGATGGTGATCCTATTATATCAGAGCTGCCCTAAGCCTGTGTAGTGGGAAATCAATAGAGAAGTGGAGAGCACGTTATTTGCCTCTTTTAGGTGGAGTTTCCAGTTTGAGATAACAGTTAACTTTTCCTTTTCGATCTTCTAGTTGCTGATTTTGCATCTAGAATACAATTTACAAATTATCTAGTCCAAACACAGTGATCAAATGCATGTATATTTACACTTTTAATGATTTCTCCCAGTCCTCAGTTCTTCCTTATTTTCTCCAAATATGGTGTCCCACAGTTTCTAAGCTCCCTGCTTTTGCTATGCATCTTCATGCCTAAAATATTTGTGATATATTCTTTACTTGATGCATTTTAACTAGGTCTCTGCACTGAGGTGTGCAGAAGCAAGCCCCTCAGGGAGTGAGGCTCCTCCTCTGCTCCTGACTATACAAGTACAGTATCCTAAGGTAAGGCAATATAAAGCCTTCATTCTTATTCTAGGAAACAGATTTCATTGGGGAAGGGAGAAATTACTCATTGGAAATCTGATGTCATCCTGCAGTGGGAGTAATTATGTTTTACAAAATTTTCTTTCCAGGAATGGAAAACAAAGAAGTTTTTTTTTACCAACTAGTTGGTATGTAGGAAAGCAAAATATTATTAGATTTTCACTGACTTCCACTCAGCAAATACTTTTTCAACCACTAACTTTCTGTTAAAATAATCAAACCATCTTACAAATGATCACCTAGCCTCAGGGTGTTTTCCTCCAATCGAAAGGAGCTCAGTACTTCCCAAGATAGTTCCATCTATTGTTAAATTGCACAACTGGTTCTAACATTAGTAGTTTAATAGAACAAATGTATTCTCACTTCAACATGATGGGTTTTCAAATACTTGAAGGTGCTCTCATTTCTTTTCCATGAAAAATCTTTTACTTCTGTCTAAATGTATGTCAACAGTCCTTCCAACTATATTTTACATAAGTTTTCTATATTTCCAAATGTGGTGATATAGATGTAAGTTTCAAATGGTCATCTTTAAAGAAGGAAATTGAAAATAAGTCTCCCTATATATGCTTTGTGTGTGTGTCTGTGTGTATATATACTCTAGTAAAATGTTCACATACCTAGCGATGTGTCAACAGGGATATTGCAGCATTGATTGAAAGAGATAGCTAATACTGGAAAAACACCTACATATCTATGAATTTGAGAGTGAAGCAATATTTTTTAACATGACGGAATATATTCAGTGATTAAAATTATTTTTTATTAATTTTTGAATATGAATTTTATATGTCATTATAAAACACGTCAGGAGAAAGTAATTGGAGATTGATAAAATTATTATGTGCATATTTTCAGAAACCAAAAAAATACGGACAAAATTATGAAAAAAGTTTTAAAATACCCCGGTGAGTAATACAAATTCTAAACTGAAATGAAAACAAAAGGAACAGGGTGAAGAAATGTATAAAAGGGACGTAAAGTGAATTTGTAAATATTTTTAAAAGTTTAAGCTATGGCCAAATATACTATATATATAAGTTTAGGAAATATTATTTTAAAATTTTACTTTCTGTGTTTTTACATCTTGAATACTTGGCAAAAGTGTGATCTTTAAAAAAGTTAGAAAAATACATTTAATGAGCAAAACTTTATTTATTTATTTATTTATTTTATTTTATTTACTGGGCTCCATGCCCAAAGTGGGGCTTCAGCTCATGACCTCGAGATCAAGAGTTACATGCTCTACTGACTGAGCCAACCAGATGCCCCTAATGAGCAACACTTTATAAAATTACAACGAAAATACAATGAACAGTTTCCATTCACAGTAGAAACAAAAGATAAAATATAAAGTATCTGGAAAAAGTTAATCATAAATATACAGGTCATACATGATGAAAATTTTAAAACAGTGAATATATGAAAGGAATAAAAAATATAGGGAGGTATGTTTCTTTTATTGATTAGAAAGACTCAGTTTTGCCAAAAAATTAGTATCTAAATCTAAATATAATATAAATATAATGTCAGTTCTTTCAGAAAATATTTATTTTGGGGATGCCTGGGTAGCTTAGTCGGTTAAGCATCTGCCTTTGGCTCAGGTCACGATCCCAGGGTACTAGGATCGAGTCCTGAATCTGGCTTCTTGCTCAGCAGGGAGCCTGCATCCCCCTCTGCCTGCCACTCCCCATGCTTGTACTCTCTCTGTCCATCTCTCTGACCAATAAATAAAATCTTTTAAAAAAGAAAAAAGAAAATATTTATTTTTAAGAAAATTTTATTTTATTTTTTTATTTTTTTTAGTTTCAAGAGTCTGACAAAATTACAGTCCTAGGATAATTGAGAGGAACTGCAGGCAGGGAAGGACAACCCATATCTAGAGTAGGAGTCCATCTCAATAAG